AGTGGTATCGGTTCATCCCCAGCTGGCAGAGGTGGCACTTCTGCCGCAAGAGGAGCTGGGAGAGCTTCTTCAGAGGAAACTAGATGCACCTTAAGAGACTGGACTTCAGCTGGGTTCACCTGGTTCTCTTCTCCAACATCTTGCTCTTCTTCCTCTTCCTCTATGGCCACCAACTTATCATCGAAGGCTGGAGGAAAGATCGTGCACCCCTCTGCATCACGCTCCGACCTCAGCTTTATTAGAGGCCGGAAGTCAACAGAGAGGCTCTCACCATCCTCCTCCACTCCTTCTTCTTGTTCCCCAAAAGTGACCGTTGTCACGTCCACCTCTGAGTATTGAGCCTTCACCTTCTTTCTACAGTCGGTGAAGGCCACAATTGCGGTCGACAGCCGGTGGAGGTTGATGATGTTCTCAAAAGTGCTGGAGTTGAGAAAGTTGCCAATGTGCTCCTCCATCCCGTTGTGAACCAACAGCTCCATGTTCTTTTTCAGCTCCACCATCCCTTGCTTCACCTTCTCAATATATTTGTCTTGAGCATCAAGATTGTCTTCACAAATCTGCCTTTTACGCTCTTCGAAGACAAGCCTTGTGTTCAAGGTCTCTCTATCGCTCTGGAGCTCGATCACTGTTGGCACCACCTCATCCAGTTTCCTCTGCATCTCCTTGTTTTTCTTTTCCAACTCTTCTTTTTCCTTCTGCAGCTCCTCCTTCTCTTTTCGCAAGGCCTCACATTGCCTCTGCCAGTTGGCACAATCTCTCACGCTCTCCGCATACTCATGCGCGAGAGCGTTAACCCAGCTCGCACTCTGCAATGCAAACAGACATCAGAATTCAAATGCAGAAGTCATAAAATCAAAAGTAAAACATGAATAAACTGAAACTTCTTTACATACCTCCAAGGTGTGCCTTACAACGCGGGCACCCAGGTGGCTCACCGTTTCTTGCTTCGCTTGCCTTCTATCCACCTCAAGAAGCGTGGTGTTGAGGAATCGCTTCGCTCCAGTACTGTTCGTTGCCTCGAACAAACTCTTCTGGAACGAAGGTGGAGGGAGCTCCTTGCCTTTGCCAGGACCTCACACCCCGGCCTCTTCCCTCTCCCTGAGTTCCAGATCAATTTCAGGTGGTGAAGGCCGGGGCACGAACTCAACCACCTCATCCCTCCTAGCCTCTGGTTCTGCCACCTTCCTCTTCTTCCTCTAGAGTGGTGCCACCTCCTCGCTCGCCTCCTCATGCCCCCCATCACAGGCTCTGGCCTTGGCTGCATCTCCAAAGCCAGGGCAAAGGTGCTGGACAGCCGCTCCCGCTCTGCCACCCCCTTCTCTGCCGCAGTTGAAGTCTTTGACTTCTTCCTTGGCTTCTTTGGGATACGCAGCCCCCCAGCAGCGTCCAAAAAGTCATCCATTTCAGCTGCAAAACAAACATAAATGTCAAGACACACCACCTGAAATCTCACCTAAATTGCACAAAATAAACATACACAAACCTTCGCTCAATGAGCTTGGCCCAGAGCTCTGCAACCTTTATCGCCTCTGCGCTGGTGAGGTACATAATATCCACTAACTCCCCTTCTTCCCTCACCAGCTTCCCCACCTCTTCCACTTCATCCTCATTCAACTTATAATTGTTCTGCTTGGCTTTCTTAGCTTTCCAAGCAGACAGTTGTTCTACTTCGACATCCTCCATACTCCACTCGGTGTCACCCACAAAGAAGAATTTTTTCGTATGGTTATACAGTACTTTTAGATATATATGTGTTCGATAGTTTTTTTTAAATTGCTTTTTTGAAAATCTACAAAAAGCTACAACATGTCTACAGTAATTTTATGTATAAAGCCAAAAGCCTCATTTTAAAGTTTTCTGACTATGTTTTTTACATAGAACACCTAATATTTAATATAATTATAAAATTACCTATTAAAACTTAATTTCATATAATTTAATTACATCAAAAGCTACAACATGTCTACAGTAATTTTATGTA